ATTCTGGGAGTCGAAGTCCGCACATCTTAAAGTTGCCAAGTTTGAAAAACACTGCTTTAGGGGAACGTCAGATTGGCCAAGCAGACTTCACCAACATGGATTGCCCCATCTCACCATCCCTGAGAAACCTAGTTGCAAGCAGGTTTTGTGGCTGGTTCGCACGACCTGCTTGACCAGGTCGGGTTGGTCCCCAACAGCTGGATTCGTGCAACCTGCTGAGCCTGGTTAAGTTTTGAATGGCTTCATGTTGGGCGAACCTCGCCCGCTTGAATTGTCCAGCGTATTTTGCAAAAATAGAAAACAGAGCAATTCCCTAACCAGGTTAAGCATGCTATGTGAATGCCACTGGGGTGTCGGCATTGTAGCCTGATGGAGATAGAAGGTCCCCACCCATTTAGACTTGTCGGATTGTGCGCACTGAAGTGGAACCAGAAACAATAACTAGAAGTTAAACGCCGGATGACAGACTCGATCAGGGGAATGTAAATAATTCCATCTTCCTGTTCATAATAGAGCCAACTTCCTTGTCAGAAGAAAAAAATACCTGTGGTTTGAAATGGGCTTTGAAAAAGACAGACTATGGGGACAAATAGGGCTGGCAACGTTAATGGAGCCTCCATGGTCAGGGCAGTCTACCGCTTATTACCAGTTGCAGGGTTAATTGCCACCTTTCTGGGCTTCCTAGAAGTGTCTGGCTGGTGAAAGGAGAGGTAAGCCTTCTCAGAGTTAAGAAATGTGCTCCCAGGTGGAGGAAATACGGACTTCCTGATCTTGCGGCAGCCCACATTGGCAACCGGGTGGAGCAGCCTTACTTTCACGTAGCCAGGAGCAAGCCCCCCAGTTGAGCACCGGGGATCAAGTAGATCAGGAGCAGAAGGCAGCCGAGCTGCTCCCGTGTTTGTAACACGGACGCTTCCCGACGGCACGCAAGCCCCCTGGAACCTTTTCCCAATCCCACCACCTGGGTTGGCCTGGGGAGGTTTCCAGAGAGTTGTGGAATCGCCTTCTCCTTCACATGGATGCGGCTCCCGGCTTTGACTCTGGGGATTCCGGCTCTCGCTCAGCCTTTGCGCCCTCCCTTCACTTCTCCCGCTGGTGGGGCCGTGCGGTGGGCCGGAGGGCAAAAGGGGTCCGCAGCACCCTTCCGCGGCTCCTTCATCCCAACCCGGCTTTTCCTGGGTTTGCCCTGCAGCTGCAAAGCGCCCCAAAGCGTCTTTTCCCCTGGGAATCCTGAATGAGCCCCCCCCCCCCCTTTACGATGGCCTTCAGCCTTCAGCTACAAGTCTCGGCGCACTGGGTGCGGGGGAGCAACCTCTGACCCTCTCCTGGCAGGAGGTCACCAGCCACAATTAGGTTACGCATCTTTCCATCACAAAGGGCAGGTTCTGGCTACGCAGGGGTGACAATTTCTGGTGGTCTGCTGAAAATGTGTACTTTGTCGAGAACATCAGGGCAGCTGAGAAGTCCCCCAGATTCATTTCATTTCATTTCATTTCACTTCATTTTTCATTTACATTTCATTTCACTTTTACTTTCCATTTTAATTTAATTTTAATTTTTTTATAGCCCAAATCAAAAGATTCTTGGCAGATTACAGCATGTTAAAAGTATAAAAGCAATGATACAAAGGAATCAAACTATTTTTAAAAAAAAACAGGAAGAAGTAATCAAGCCATCTCGAAGATGGAGGGCAGCAAAACTTAATTCAGGTTGAAGGCCTGGCCGAACAAATCTGTCTTTAAAGATTTTCCAACCATGAGAGAGGGACGTTTACAGATCCCGGGGGAAGGATCTCAGGAATGTGGGGGCCACCCCAAAGAAGGCCTGTGGTCTTGACCACGTGCTGCTCATTTCAGAGGCGGGGGGTCATTCTTCACAGCTCTTACAAGATTTCCTCACCAATGGGCAGCAAAGTGATGCCTGAAGTAACTGTGTTATGATAATCAGCTGTGGACACATTTGGAAGTTGTCCACCATCTGCAGTTGCAGATGGTAATACTTCTTGCAGGGTTCATTTATGTCTTGAAGTGGTATCCTGACAATGCCAAAATGGTTGTCGAGCAGGACTTGGTATACTCCTCTACCAATCTAAAGAAGGTCAAGAAACACAGATCAGGTGTTTTCCGCCCTTCAGGCTGGGGATCGGTGCAGCAATGGCAGTTGGGTCTGCTAGACTGGGTGGGCTGTGCTCTTGTCTCCAGATGTCTTCTCCAAAGGCTCGCTCCAGCTGGAATCTCTTGCTACAGAGAAGCCTGGAGCATCTTAAGTCCTTGGGGAAGAATGAGCCCCATCTGGGCCAAGATGAGTCCTTCTTTCCTGATTGCCTTTCAGTTGGCCAAGACCCCAAGTCTTCTCTTGGCTGGGCCTCCAGATATGGACTCGGAATTGGAACAGATTCTCTGAATTGAGATGTAAGCTGGCCAAGTGGTTCCTTGGGGCTGTTGTGACATTCATCCATTTTTTCCTTCGTTGGCAGCTTTCCGGCAGAGCACACATGGCATTCAGATGACCTCTGTCAAGAAGAGGCGCACCCCAGATGATGAGCTCTTGTATCTCCCAGTAAGTAGGTCCAGGACCTGGGCAAAAAGGTGGGGATTCTCACTTACTTCTGGTTGGACAGCTTGACTTCCAGTGAGGTTTTTGGCATTGGCGAAACAGGGGGAGGGGTCAGCCTGACAGCCCTCAGAAAGAGTGAGAACTTCTCCTGTGCTTCTGAGCCAGTTTGTGCCCAGAATTCAGGAAGGTTGGGAGCAAGAGCTCCTTCCATGCTTGGGGTCTCCAGAATGTGGCATACCTCTTTCCTGGCTAGAGAATTTGAAGGGAAGGAGGAATGAAGATTAGTGGGAACCACAGGTTTTGGCTGTTGAATTAGAATGCTGTCTTCTGAACTTTTGGACACAGCTGGCTAAACTTGCCTGCTCTCAAGAGCTAATCAGGGCCACATCTGGTTAATATTCGGACAGGAGATAAGGAAATCTTAGGGCTGTGAGTATGTTGGGGAAGTCTAAAGAACGTCCTTGAAGAAGGCAGTGGAGAACCATTTCCATAAGTCCACCAAGCAGACAACATAGATGTGGACCTGAGGTCACCAGGAATTAAGCTCAAATTGAAGGATCTGTTTGCAGCTCTTTTCTTCCACGTAGTACCCTCCACCTCTGTTCCTAGTATCGTTGCCAGTCCCCCTTAAAAGAACTATGCCCCTTGAAGTCTGGAGGACACCATGTTGGGGAAGACTAGTGTGTGGTCAGGAAGACAGGGTTGGACAATGAACTTTGCCCTTCTGCAGTCTGACTGCTCTGGTGTCCCTGAGCTCCTCACTCATGTGTTTCCTCTCCTCTTGGCTCAGGTGCGAGGCCGGGAGACCTACGAGATGCTGCTGAAGATCAAGGAATCCCTGGAGCTCATGCAGTTCCTCCCCCAGCACACGATTGAGACGTACCGGCAGCAGCAGCAGCAGCAGCAACAGCACCAGCACTTGATGCAGAAACAGTGAGTCTTGGAGCTGCGACTCTCATGCTACTCCTCCCCTGCACGAGGACCACCCTTCCCTTACTAGCAGTGGCTTGAAGCGGGGGTTGATGGAATGTGCTTGTTGTTGGTGATGTATTTATCCTTCCTGGAAGGGAGATGCTAGAGGGTCCCACTTCCCTTGCTTGTGTGTGGCTGAGATCCACTGAGGTCACGTCCATGCATGTGGGCGGGGAAGTGGCCCGGAACAGGCTGCTTTTCAGCTGTTGGGTCTTCAGCCTGAAGAAATAGGTTACTTTTTCAGCATCTGTTGAGGAAAGTTGGGTTTGCTCAGCTGATCTGCGCTTCCATCTGTTTGGTCTGATCCGCTCTCTGGGTCTTTCTTAGCTTCAAGGCACCGGGAAAAATCAGGACCCTTCCACAGGGCCAGGCAAATGCTTTCCTACAGAGCCATATTTAACTGAACTGTTCCTTTATGGTGAGCAGTTGGTTCCCCCAAGACAACCCAAACCTTTATTTTTGCCATCTGGGTTGTGTGGAACAGGTGCGTGTATCCACAGCTGATGTTGTGTGACTTCCGCCCCCCCCCCATCACCACTGGCTTGAAATTAGGGCAAGAGCCTGTCGTATGCAAAGGTGCACTGGTTGAGTAGCAACCTTGTTTATTCCTGCTGAGCTGAGTCAGGCCTAGTTAATGAGAAACCACCAGGAGACCTTAAAGCCGTACGCTAGACTAGGAATTTGGGAAAGCATCTTGGAAGAAGACAGAAGCAAAGAACTTCTGTCTGAGATCTGTAGAATCCTTAGAGTTGGAAGGGGCCTGGAGATCTTCTGGGTCCAACCCCCTGTCCAGTGCAGGAATCCTCAGACCATCCCAGACAAATGACTGTCCAACTTTGGCTTGAAACTGCCAGCGATGGAGCCCCCATGACTCCAGGAGGGAGGCCGTTTCCCTGCTAAATAGTTCTCATAATCAAGAAATTCCTGCTTGTTTTGAGTTTGGATCTCCTTCTGTAAAGCGTCTACCCATTAGTTCTTGTCCTACCCTCTAGCACTACAGATAGTCCTCACTTAACAACTGCCCTGTTCAGCGACCATTCGAAGTTATAACAGTGCTGAAAAAGTAACTTTACGACCAGTCCCTGCACTTATAACGGTCGCAGGGTCCCACAGTCACGTGATTGAGATACAGGCACTTTGCAACCAGTGTGCATTTATGACTGTCACAGAATCCCGTGGTCATGTGATTGCCCTCCGCGAGCTTCACTGCCAGCTTTCAACAAGCAAAGTCAATGGGGAAGCTGGCAGGAAGTCACAAGTCACAGTCACATAATGTCTCACTTAGCAACCATGGTGAAAAGCAACGTTATAAGTCAGGTGTGGTCACGTGATGTCTCGCTTAGTGACAGTTGCCAGTCCCAAGTGTGGTTGTTAAGTGAGGACCACCTGTATGGAGCATAACTCCACACCCTCTTCTTGTTGCCAAGAAAACAACATAGTCACATTCCTGAAGTCACCAGGAGTTAAGCCCAGCTCATGGGAGCCCTTGCCTCAACCCCCTCCTTGATTAACCTTAGAACCTTGCTTTATTTTGCCATTTACATACTTTTTTCTGAGAAGGGGGGGTCCAAAGGTTTCCCCACCCTCTCAAAGGGCACAAAAATGTTAACACCCCACCCTACCCCCCTGACTAGCCACTCCGGCTAAGCACCTGCAACTGATAAAGGGGAGGAGGATACGATTCAGAACCAGAGCACCAGCAGCAAAAGGTGAGGGAGCTCCCGTTTGTCGTAAAAACACGGGTGTGATAAATGTGCCTGGGTTCATGCAGAGCTTTGCAAATGCCTGCCAGTCCTGGTTTAGATGTAGTGGTCTGTGGGAACGGCCTTGGGAGACAGGAGGGAGAGCCACAGCTGGGGCAATGGTCTGATAAGAGGCAGCTCAGCCCACAGAAGGAAAAGGGGTGGGGGGAGCATCTCAGAAGGGGCCCTCCTTCGTTTTCAGGAGAGTAAAAGGAAAGGCGGGAGAAAGACTTTCAGTCTTGCCAGATAATATCACCTTACAATAAAGATAGAGCTGATACTCCTGGTTGTGCTTCTGGTCTGGACTACCTTGCAGGGCTAACATTAGCAGTCTGGTGAATGCTTCGTTTGTTTTCTGCTGCAATGGCACAAGGAGGCCCTTGTAACTGAAAAGAGGGAAACTGTTTTGATGTCTGAGCTCCTCAGACCCTCAGAAGCTTTCTTCACTCTCCCACACCCTGCCCTCCTTCTCCCCTTCGGTCACACATACCTCACACCCTCTTTCCTCGGCCTCCCTGTGCTTGCACATGCACACTCAGCACCCTCATTCCCCAGCCTCTCTGAGCTCATGCTGCAGTGAGCCCCCCTCCCCAGTGGCCTGCGCCAGGGCTCCCAGGCTCTCCCCCATCCCCTGTGGCACCCCCGTGCTCCTTACCTGGAATGCTGCTTACCTGGGGCTCCCTCTGCTTCCTGCTTAAGAACCCATATGTCTTGGGTTACCATGACAACTGAGACTGCCAGGATTGCTGTCACTAAGTGATGCAGTCACGTGACATTGCGCTTTACGACCGCATTGCTTAGCAATGGCAATCCTAGTCCCATTTGCAGTCATAACTCGAGGACTACCTGTATTTCATGAGAACAGACCCTGCAGACAGACCTATTCCTACCCCCAGAATAGCCCTACCTGAAGGAAAAAGGAAGGAGGGAAGAAGGCGCCCTTTGCTGAGGGGGAGTCAAGGGACCCGGAGATGCCAAGGAGCTCTTTGGGGGCAAAGCCAGCTTCCTCCTTGCCCTGGGCTGGTTCTCACAATCCGTGTCAGGTCACACATAATCCCAGCCTGGCGGTTTCCCCCTCGCTTGGCGCTTTCGGTTCCTTTCCGACAAAAATGAAGCCTTCTTTATTAGCACCAGCTGGGCACTCCAGATGGAGGGACGTTTCCTCTCTTGCATCGATCAGCTCCGAATGGGGCTGGCTGTGGTCTAGCTTGCTCTTCTCTTGGCTCCCCTTTCTGGCCAGGAGGTGGAGGAGGAGGCATAGTAGGAGAGGGAGCAGGATTCAGAGGGAGCATAACAGAAGGATGCCTTTGGCAAGTAGAGTAACGGATGAAGGTATTACAGAGAGAGTAAGGGGATCCATTTTATATCAGTGACAACAGATTAGGGAAGGCCACCTAGACCGAGTTTTGTAGGGTCTCGTGTAGATCTTGAGCCATGGACAAGGAACCCCAGGGCCCATGGAGAAGGGTGAGCATTGCAGCCAAGTAGAACTGGTGTCTTGGCAAGGAAGCTTCAGTGTAATGGACTTCAGATGCAGAGGACAAAATGTGTGCCCAGATACCACTTCAGAAGGACAGCGTCCGTTGTATCTGAAGTAGCCCCAGTGGGTCAAGGAGATCAACATTACTGTCGTCAAATTAATGGTGTAAATCGAGGCAAATGATGTACATTCAATACGCATTCAGGGGTAACAGAGACCCCTCCTTCCAAATGGTCTGCTAAATGGATGATTTGGGATTCAGCTGAAGTGGGGGACAGCTGGAGGGCATGCGTTAGAGCTTTGTGTGGGGATGGAAGCCAATGGCTGAAGAGAGGAATGTTTTCAAATGCTCGAAACATCGGTCTCCAAGAAAAGGAAGTCATAAATGCTGTGACAATGTTTAAAAAAGGATAGGCTGCAGGTGGTGCAAATGCTAAAATATGGATGTAGTTTGCTGACAGGGTGGCTGTGTGAAGGCAGAATCTGGGCCTGGTCATTGGGAGAACGCTGTGCTTGTTCCTCAGCAAAGGGAAGAGGGGCAAGAATGAATGCGGAAACTGCTTTCTTATTCTACCTTCTCTAGAGGCATGTGCTTGGTAAGGGAGCCTGGGAAGGTGCTTTGCACCATTCAGAAGGAGGGGCAGTGAGCAAAATTTGAAATGTGCAGCACAGCCTCATGCAGGCAGGGAATGCGCAGACTGGCTTGTTGCTCTTCACTGAGAAAGGCATGAAAACGAGACCATTTGTGGTACATTTGTGGCTTTAGAGAAAGTGTATGGTAAAGTGAACAGGCCTGAATTATGGAACGTCTTGTATGAATAGGGAGTTGAAGGTTGGTTGCAGAATGTGGGTGGGTGGGTGGGTGGGTGGGTGGATGGATGGATGGATGGATGGATGGTA